AGGAGACATTTCTCTCCCCTTCGCCCTCCTCCTAAGAGCTCTTAAAAAATCTAATCCACCTACTTCCTGCACATTCCTCCAGGAAGTTCCACTGCCTCAAGGTCGTTCCAGGGAAGAATATCCACAAAGGAACCCTTACCTTTCCTTGCCCGTAGGGGAAAGGAGCACTCACCCCCATCTTAATTCTCGGGAAAGCTCCTTGTTTTCAAACTTAATTCCCTCGTGTGCATGATAAGTTTCCTCTTGTTTTGCCCATGAGCGGTAATGGCCATACAACTAAATGACAGAGGAGCTCAGAGCAGTGCTGGTGGCCCTGTTCCTGCTCTCAAGGGTCCCTTCACCTTCCTTGTGTCCCCTTTGCTTCTGGTTGCTCCTCCCCACGCCACCCCCACCTCCCTAAGACACACACACACACACACACACACACACACACAGAGAGAGAGAGAGAGAGAGAGAGAGAGCGAGAGAGAGGGAGCGAGAGAGCCAAGTCAGAAATTGCACCCTATGGCCCAGTAACCCAGTCCTGACTCCTGCCATGCATGGTCAGTGATGATAACAGAGCAGATATTCATGAAGCATTTACTGCATGCCTGGCGCCTTTCAGCCTTCTGCTACCCCATCATGTCTAGGATTATAGATCACACTGGAGAGGAAACTAAGCCTAGAGAAGTCAGCGATTCCATTAAGGCCAAAGAGGGAAATGGTTCCAGCATCTCATGCTCCCAAAGCCAGGAAAACCCGGCACACATCCTAAAATAGGTGCATTTGCCCACTGCAGCTCCAGCTCTTGCTAGATTACTTCAATCAGTGTGTGTGTGTGTGTGTGTGTGTGTGTGTGTGTGTGTGTGTCTGTGTCTGTGTCTGTGTCTGTGAAATGGTTTTCCATGCTGAGAGACTGACATTAGAATCAACTGGGGACAGGCATAGGCAGGTGTGGGTCGGCCCCTGGAGCTACTATGAATCTTCAGAGCTGGCTTCTCTCTGTAGCTCCCAGGAAACAGTGTGGGTGCAAACCACAATTTGAAAATGACTATTCCAGAGGGCTCCCACACAGTCACCCCCACTTCTAATAGGACACTAAATGGCAAGTTTGCTTTTTCTCGTTTTACAGAAGAAATTGAGGATCAGAGAGGTGAAGTGATTTCCCCAGCAGCCTCACAGTGAAGTCCTCTTTGGAGCTTAGGACCTACTGTGTGATAGAATGAGTTTATTTCATAGACTATGCACATTTCATTCTTATCTTATGAAGGTGTTAATCCTTTTATTCTCAATAAATGCCTCAAAGAAATAAACATATAAAGGCTACATACGCAGGAACTAAGTAGGCAGCCTCAGAAATAGATCTGCTTTCTCCCATCCAGAAGAGCCATTCTGATGGGGGTCAGTGCTTCCTGGAGTGCCTGGTTCTTTTTTTATCTCTGCTGTCCTCTACCCCAGCTCTCCCCCAGGTCTAGGAACAGAAGCAGTCATAGCTGTCCACTATCCAGCCAAGAACCAGCACTAGAGGATGGGATCCTGAAGCTCTGCTTTCCATGCCCCCTTAACCCCTAAACCCAGAACCAGGATGTAGAGCAGAAGATAGGGAAGCACGAGGAAGGCACTGTGCTGGTGAGATGGCTCAGTGAGCAACAGTGATGGCCGTGTAAGCATGGGAATCTGAGTTCAAATCCCCAGAACCCATGTCAGAGCCGGTGTGTAGCATAAAGCATCAGTAATTCTAGCGCTAGTGCAGGGAGATGGATGACAGAGACAGGAGGATTTCTGAAAGGTTGCAAGCACGCTAGCCTGGTATATGCAGCCAGAAAACAACAGAGAGATCCTGTCTCAAATGAGGTGGAAGGCGAGGGCCAAGGGTGTCCTCTGACCTCCATGTGCACACTGCTGCACGCCCACATTCACACATGAAAACATAAACACTCCCTTACAGTTATAAAAGAAAAAGAAGCTTCCTAAACTAGATGTGGTGGCTCACACCTGGACTCCCAGCACTCAGCAGAGGCAGCGCTAAGACTCTTTCTGGAAAATTAAAAGAAAGGGAGGGAAGGGAGGAAGGAGTGAGAAAGGAAGAAAGGAGGGAGGGAGCAAGCTTCCTAGTAATGTCTGGAGCTTAACACCTGGACCTGGGAACTGGGAATGGGGTCCTGATGAAGACAAGGGACTCATCTCAAGGACCAAATTCCTCCCTCCAACTCCAGCTCAAACGAACACTTGCAGAGCACAGAAGCACGTCAAAGGCAACATGGTCGTTTATTTGTTGTTGAGATAGAGTCTCACAGAGGCCAGATTAGAATTTGCTCTGCAACAAGGCTGACCTTGAACTACTCATCTACCTCCACCTCCTGAGGTGCCTGGATTACAAGCATGTGCCCCCGTGCCTGGTTTGAGAAAATGCTTTAAATAGATAGAAGCAGAAAAGAGCACACAAAAAGTTCAGTAGGAACACTATTTCTTTAAGCTCTGGCTCACCGCACAGTATGCATTTCTGCCTGATGTGGATGACTTAGCTCTATCTAATATGCTCAGGACTCTGAGGGAAGCACCGCCATGTCCTCAATAGCCTGGAGGGGATAAAAGAAACTGGCAGAGATAGTTTCCACAGAGGCATCCCTGCCCAGGTTGAATCCTGGGAGATAGTAGACAAACCTGGCGGCTTCTGCAACACACAGCCCACCCAGCTAGGCATGAGCAATCCCTGCCAACTGTGTCTAGGAGGTTGGTGCACAAGCCCCTGTGATGCTGAGCTTGGAGAGGAGCATGGGTCAGGATCCACTAACAGTTCCCTGGAGAGCTACTTAAGCAGGTTGGCCAAAGCGGGAATGGACTGGTCAGCAGGCCCCAGGCAGGCCCTAGTCTGCCTGCTGACCTTGACAAAGTCAGGTCCTGCATGCGCATCCCTAGAGCAGTCCAGGAAGAGCTATAAACCTGCCTACCTCCCAAACTTGGTGGGGAGCCAAAACAAGAGGCTGTAAAACACAAGGACTTCAGTAAGGGAGCATTCTAGGGGAGAAGACACTGTTTATAAGGGGTGAGGGGGACTGGGCTGTTCCCATACCAGGACTGGATATAACCAGGTTGCCACTAGTTTCTCTTAAAGACTACTGTCATCAGCCAAGACTGTCTCCAGGCTACTTACACATTGATTTATTTCTTCACCCTCTACCACAACTTGGATAATTTCCATGTGGCTATTTCCCTAAGTAAAGGGCGTTCTTGCTTTGCCCAAGAGTTACCTCTTTAGAATACCAGCATGTCTGCCCATTGGGTCTCTTTCTGGCATCGTAGGATCAATGAAGTTTTCTCAGTCAGAGTCCTGTGGATTCTCACAGCCTGGCTTTCCCTAAATCATTTAGCCACTCTCAGCAGCCACCTTCAGAAGTCCCTAGCTCCTGCCACCCTGATGGAACTTTGTCCAGGGAGAAATACAAACTTGGGACTCACACATTGTACCAAAGTTTTTGAGAAGTATTTGGGGATGTGGACATTACCGAGTAAGGAAAGCGCTTACCAGCAATCATGAGATCAATTCCCTGTAAACTTGTTTTTAAAAATGGGTATGGTGCCATGGGTTTGTAATTCCAGAACTGAGAAGGTAGAAACAGGAACATGTCTTGGACTCACTGGACAGCCAGCCTTGCTACTCATCCGGAAGCTCCAGGTCAAATGACAGACCCTGTGTCACCTGAGGAATTGCAGCCAGGGTTAACTTCTGGCCTCCACACACATACCTGCACACACATGTACACACACATAGCTATCCTATTAAATATTCACATCAGCAGGAATCTGATGGCTCTTAGCACCCATTGTGGGGTCGATACCAGGCTGGGAATGTTCCACCATCGTTTCCCGTATCCAGAGATCAGTCACACCCAGGCAGGGTAGGGGCAGAAGGAAGGGCAGGAGAGTGCCTGCTCTAAGTTTAGCTCCAAGGACTTTCGGGCATGGCGCGCATGGTGAGCAGAAGCTCAGCTGAGACTCTCTGGCCCCAGGGAGGAAGAACAGCTCAGAGCTTAAAGGAAGAAAGTGGGCCGGCTGAGGGCAGTGAGACAAAGACCCTCCTGGGAGAGAGGCCTAGGGGGCCTGGGGAAGCAGGGCTGGGCCAGGCAAGGCTCCCGGGCCCTATGGCAAAGGAAAGATTTCTGCTCCCTCACCCTAGGCAACCTACCTGACTGCTTCCTGCCCACCCCCAGGAGCTTTGCCAGGATAGAAGCATGCCCCTGAGACAGCACAGATCAGGGAAACCAGATTCACAAACAAGTCCAAACAGTGGGTCTGTTCCTTTTCTTAGAGGCCACCGGGCAGTGGTATTGGCCCACCGCATCCATGGCTTATGCTCCCCTCAAGGAGCAGCCACAGAGCAAGGTGATTCCTCCATAAGGTAGCCAGTCATAGGGTTTAGGGACCCAGCATTGCCTGGTCCCCAAAGCCTGCTTCTAAAGATTCCAGAGTTAATCATCATTTCCAGAGGCAGACTGCCCCCACCCTCTTCCCCTCTTCCCCTCTTCCCCAGGATCTCCCAGCTTAGCCCTGCTGATTTCTTCCTCTGAACGGGACTCAACAGCCTCTCCTTAATTGTGCACTCATTAAACAAGCCCTTAATAAATACATACCAGGGGAGAGAGGGTTGGGCAACACAGCTCCCTCACAAGTGATAATTAAACACAGATCATGGCAATTAAGCAAATCAGGGAGCAAGGAAGGGGTGGGCAGAACAACACACTACCAGTTACATACTTAGGAAAGACTGGAACCCATATAAGCCTCAGTTGCAGCAATGTGGCCTTCGAGCCACTACTTGGGTTCAGAAGAGGTTATGTTCTTTGTGTCACCAAACACCACTGGGGTCTCAGTCCATGGAACTGAACTGATATGAATAGAGAGGGTAGAACTTCTGGATCAGGCTCCCCAGCTGTGAAAACAAAGCTCTGGTCACTACTCAAGCCCATAGCTTCCATGCCATGACCTAGGGTTTCATTCATTCTCACGCTCTAGACACAGGCCTCACTGACCTTTCCTCTCACCAGATGACCTGGATTCTGTCCCACTTGACCATCAGTTGGTCATGTGCCCTTAGGCAGGTTACCATCCCTCTCTAGACACACCTTCCTGACTTTCTGGAAAGCTCTATGCTATGGTTTTCAAAGTCCCTGCCCACTCATACCAAAGTTCTGCCCTGCTCTCCACTCACCCCATCCCCAGTTCCCAGAGTCCTCTTATTGTCTACAGAAGCCAGGTTCTATGAATACTCTACTAATGCAAGGCCTGGCACTCCCTTGGCCAACCAAACACAGGGCAAGGAAACCCATAATATACAGTGACTGGTTTAAGGAGTGGAGTTTTGGTGCCTCGGCAACCCCTTACCCCTGCCATGGCCACAGGGGACTCCTAGGATGATCCAAATGGGAACTCTATACCTATCCCACAAAGAGGAGCCTTGGGTGTTAAAGAGTCGCCATGAAACCCATGTAACACCTGTGCCAATGATACACAAGACAAAACACCAACGTCTTGAATCTGGCCTCTTGGGAGGTGAGTAAACCAGAGCTCAGAAACAAAAGAATGCTGCCATTCACCACCACCACACCAGCACCTGACATATAACCATAGAACATGTCTGTACATGGTTCACATGTGCAAGAGTGGCTTCTCTTAGAGGCTTCTGTCACCTGCTTCCACCACAAATACCTCAACCATGTGCCTGACCCAATGGGGATTGGGGCTAGCTGCCAAAACCCAAATCTGACATATATAAACAAGAAGAGGTAAGGTGCCATAGATGGAGCCTCCCTTGCATTGGAAGCCAGGCTGTGATTTACATTTTTGGCTAACAAATGCCATTGCCTAATCTCTCAGAGCTTGACACTCAAACCCATCTTGTGAATATTAATAGAGGGTCATAATATCCTAACCCGAATCCTCTGGACCTGACTCCTCTCTCTTCACAGGCTTCTCCAAAATAAAGAGCCAGGAGCAGGCCAGACAGGTCTTCCTCCAAGAACCCCTTTAAAGGAAGAGGGGCAAGGCCCTTCTTAAAAGGTGGCTTTTGAATGGTCCTCTAGGTCCTTCCAAGCATTTAGCATAGAGTTGCAGTGATGCCAGCAAAGACAGAAGAGGGAAGAACCTCACAAAGGGTGGTGATCGGGAGACCCTTGCCCCCCCCCCATTGGTGCATCCCGGCTGCCAGGGAAACAAGCCAATAATAGCTCCAGGCAAGAGTGGCAGACACCACTATACCTGCAACCCTCTGGGACCCCCACACTCCAGGCAATAGACCCCTCCACCAGCATGCCTGAACTCCGGAACTTAGGAGTCCCCTGCTGCAGTTCCAAGACCTGGCTCCAAAAGGCACCAGAGGGAGCAAGGAACTCTGCCAGGATGGCTGTGGGGGAGGAAGGGTTACACAGGGTTCCCAGGGAATATAGTATCATAGCAAAGCGTCCAGCAGGAAGATGGTCATCCACTCATTTGGTACCACCTTATCTAAAGCACCCTCTTCTCCAGTATTCCCTGCTTCAGGGTGGGGTGGGGGTAAGAAAGAGGTGAGAGAAAAGCAAAGCTAGGGCTGCCTTACCCAAAAGCCCAGTGCCCAGCCATCTCGCCAGGGTTTTGCCTCGGTCCCCAGCCCGGGACATGGTCCTGATCTCTCCGGAGCGCTCTGAGAGCTTGGGTTGAGATAGTGGGCACCCCAGCGCTCTCCGCCGGAGGTCGGCTCTCGGCCCGGCAGCTGCCGGGGGGGGGGGGGGGGGGGGGGCCCGCGGGGGGGTGGGGGGCGGGGGGAGCCG